CCCAGAAACCAGAAAGGGCTTGGCATGTTGTAGAAACAGAAAGGAGAACAGAATGCCTGGAACACAATGAATAAGGAGAGTGGTATGAGATGAGGCTGAGAGGGAGGTAAGGGCCAGTTAGGCCATGGTAAGGAGTTTGAATTTAAAGAGAAATAGGGAGCCTTCAAAATTTTTAAGACTTTTTCTGATTTATGTTTTAAAGAGATCATTTTGGCTGTTTTGTGAAGGATGACTCAAAGGAGAAAGAAAAAAAAAAAGGAGGGAAAAGTAAATAGAAAACTATTGAATGGCCCAGGTGAGAGAAGATGGAAAGAATAAGTCAGGTTTTCAAACCCAATCTGTCTTCAATCACTACATACATACCCAGGCCTAACAACATTCACTTTCTAAAATGCATGACATCAGCAGCATTCACATAACAGCAATGAACAACAAGCAGTCTTTTGAACAGTCATAACCATCACTATCGCTCTTTAATAAATGCTTCTGCACTGACTCTGACTGTGGACATTCTAAACAGTAAGCTGTTGTTAGTTGCCACAGAATTGGCTCCAACTTATGGCATCCTGCACCATCCTCACAATTGTTGGTATGTTTGAGCATACTGTTGCAGGTATTGTGTCAATCTATCTCACAGAGGGTTTCCTTTGTTTTTGCTAACGCTTTACCCAGCATGGTGTCTGTCTCAGTTATCTAGTGCTGCTATAACAGAAATACCACAAGTGGGTGACTTTAACAAAGAGACACTTATTTTCTCATAGTCTAGGAGGCTAGAAGTCCAAATTCAGGGTGCCAGCTCCAGGGGAAGGGTTTCTCTCTCTGTCGGGTCTGGAGGAAGGTCTGTGTCATCAATCTTCCCCAGTTAAGGAGCTTCTTAGTGCAGGGACCTGGGTCCAAAGGACACGCTATTCTCCTGGCTCTTCTTGCTTGGTGGTATGAGGTCCCCCTGGCTCTCTGCTCGCTTCTCTCTTTCGTATCTCAAATGAGATGGGTTTAAGACACAACCTAATCTTGTAGATGAGTCCTGCCTCACTAACATAACTGCAACTAATTCTGCCTCTGACATCATAGAGGTAGGATTTATAACACATAGGAAAATCACATCAGATCACAAAATGGCAGACAACCACATAATACTGGGAATCATGTCCTAGCCAAGTTGACACACATTTTTTGGGGACACAATTCAATCCATAACAGTGTCCCTTTCTAGTGATGGGTCTTTGCTAATGACGTGTCCAAAGTAAGCAAGACAAAGTCTCGCCACCCATGCTTTTAAGGAACATTCTGGCTGTACTTCCTCCAAAACTGATTTGTTGGTTCTTCTGGCAGTCCATGGTATAGTCAATATTCTTTGCCAACACTACAATTCAAATGCATCAATTCTTCTTTGATCTTTCTTTTTCGTTGTCCAGCTTTCACATGCATATGAGACAACTGAAGTCACCATGGCTTGGGTCAGGCACACCTTAATAGTCAAAGTGACATCTTTAAGAGTTCTTTTGCAGATTTTAACACTTTGAGTTCTTTTGCAGATTTTCTCAATGCAATATGTCATTTTATTTCTTGACTGCTGCTTCCATGAGCAATAACTGTTGGTCCAAGTAGAATGAAATGCTTGACAACTTCAGCTTCCTCACCATTTATCATGATGTTGTTTTCAGGACCAGTTGTGAGGGTTTTTGTTTCTTTATGTTCAGGTGTAATCCACATCGCAGGCTGTTGTCTTCGACCTTCATCAGTAAGTGCTTCAAGTAGATTTCATTTTCAGCAAGCAAGGTTGTGTCATCTCCGTATCGCAGGTTGTTAATGAGTCTTCCTCCAACCCTGATGTCTCATTCTTCATACAATCCAGCTTCTTGAATGATTTGTTCAGCATACAGATTGAATAAGTAAGGTGAAAAGATATAACCCTACGGCACACCCTTTCCAATTTTAAATCATGCAGTATTTCCTTGGATGGGCTTGACAGCTCCGTGGTTAGAGCACTGGTCTTGTAAACCAGGGGTCGTGAATTCAATCCTTGCTGTGGCCTCCTGTGTAGCTCCTGTTTCTTTGAGCCCTGATGGCGCAATGGTTAAGAGCCCAGTTGCTAACCAAAAGATAGGCAGTTTGAATCTACCAGCCAGTCCTTGAAAACCCTATGAGGCAGTTCTACTCTGTCCTATAGGGTCACTATGAGTCGGAATCAGCTCGATGGCAACGGGTTTGGGTTTTTTTTGGTTTAACATTTCCTTGTTCTGTTTGAAAGAGTGTCTCTTGATCCAATGACAAGTTCCACATGAGCACAATTAAACATTCTGGAATTCCCATTCTTTGCAACATTATCCATAATTTGTAATGATCCACACAGTAGAATGCCTTCGCATAGTCAACAAAACATAGGTAAACATCATTCTGGTATTGTCTGCTTTCAGCCAAGATCCATCTGACATCAGCAATGATATCCCTTGTTCCACATCCTCTTCTGAATCCAGCTTGGAACCTTTGACAGTTCCCTGCCAATGTATGGCTGCAGCCATTTTTGAATTATCTTCAGCAAAATTTTGCTAGCATGTGAGATTAATTTTATTGTTCAATAATTTCTATATTCTGTTTTATCATCTTTCTTTGGAAAGGGCACGAATATGGTTCTCTTCCATTTGGTTGGCCAGGTAGCTATCTTCCAAACTTTTTGACATAGAT